GGATAACGAGGACCAACAAGGCACATGGCACCAGGTAAACTTGACCCTAACATTGACCCTAATAACATCACACACTCACGGTAGCATGGATAACGAGGACCAACAAGGCACATGGCACCAGGTAAACGTGACCCTAACCCTAATAACATCACACACTCACGGTAGCATGGATAACGAGGACCAACAAGGCACATGGCACCAGGTAAACGTGACCCTAACATTGACCCTAATAACATCACACATTCACGATAGCATGGATAACGAGGACCAACAAGGCACATGGCACCAGGTAAACTTGACCCTAACATTGACCCTAATAACATCACACACTCACGGTAGCATGGATAACGAGGACCAACAAGGCACATGGCACCAGGTAAACGTGACCCTAACCCTAATAACATCACACACTCACGGTAGCATGGATAACGAGGACCAACAAGGCACATGGCGCCAGGTAAACGTAACCCTAACCCTAATAACATCACACACTCACGGTAGCATGGATAACGAGGACCAACAAGGCACATGGCACCAGGTAAACGTGACCCTAACATTGACCCTAATAACATCACACACTCACGGTAGCATGGATAACGAGGACCAACAAGGCACATGGCGCCAGGTAAACGTAACCCTAACATTGACCCTAATAACATCACACACTCACGGTAGCATGGATAACGAGGACCAACAAGGCACATGGCGCCAGGTAAACGTAACCCTAACCCTAATAACATCACACACTCACGGTAGCATGGATAACGAGGACCAACAAGGCACATGGCGCCAGGTAAACGTGACCCTAACCCTAACCTAATAACATCACACACTCACGGTAGCATGAATAACGAGGACCAACAGGGCACATGGCGCCAGGAAAACGTAGCCCTAACCCTAATAACATCACACACTCACGGTAGCATGGATAACGAGGACCAACAAGGCACATGGCGCCAGGTAAACGTAACCCTAACATTGACCCTAATAAAATCACACACTCACGGTAGCATGAATAACGAGGACCAACAAGGCACATGGCGCCAGGTAAACGTAACCCTAACCCTAATAACATCACACACTCACGGTAGCATGAATAACGAGGACCAACAAGGCACATGGCGCCAGGTAAACGTAACCCTAACCCTAATAACATCACACACTCACGGTAGCATGAATAACGAGGACCAACAAGGCACATGGCGCCAGGTAAACGTAACCCTAACCCTAATAACATCACACACTCACGGTAGCATGGATAACGAGGACCAACAAGGCACATGGCACCAGGTAAACGTGACCCTAACCCTAATAACATCACAAACACTCACGGTAGCATGAATAACGAGGACCAACAAGGCACAGGGCGTTACAGAATGTATGACCAGAGGCTGAGTAGGTGGTTCATCTGAGTTATATGCCTTCATCCATTAGACTTGATAAATACCAATGCACACATGAGTGTACACACAATGGAACAAAAGGTAACAATAAACAAATAATGATTGCGTGGATCGTTCTGTATTGTTTTCAAACAGTTTGCCTTGTCCAGATTGGATTACTTAGACTGCAGACCAGTAATACTGAAGACTTGGCTCGCTCTCTGTATATTCTTACCATCGCTGATTCTCTGTGTGTGTGTCTGTCAGACACTGTGATCAGGCATGGTGACTTGGTTGATTGCGGATTGTCGCTCATAACATTAACCACTGGTTTATCTGTAGATATACTACTTGATAAATCTCAATCACGTTGAGCAGTATCGCTATATATTCTGACGATAGCCAGAATGAACACAATTGTACACATATGTGGTATTATACATACCTTGTTGTTCTCCATGCACCACATGTGTGTAAAAATGCATAACTAGTCCGTACCAGAATACTACATGTGTTTCATATCCCATGGTGCAGTGATAGTGTCAGACAAGTACCGAGACATTTGACCCTAAGACTATACTTAGCGAAGTGCATCCTCATCATCGAGTGAGGCCCCATCACCCGCATCCTTCCGCCAGCGGAACAAGCACTATGCAGTCACTTGTGACTTTATGGAATGACTTACTTCCTTGTGGTGAAACTGTAATCTATTGATTCTGTTCAGGTCCATTCACTATGAAGATGTTCAGCTAATTAATTGTTTAGTGTTTTTCATTTAACGTCGCACTCAGCAATAGTCCAGCAATATGCAAAAGGTCTGTAAATATGTGTACATTCATAATATATCAGTTGTTGTCACTCTACTCTAATTAAGTAGAACATACTCTAACAACCATCGCAAACATACACACCACAACAAAGACCACAAGACCTTCTATACACCAAATTACAATCGTTGAAGCTCAGATATCAATGGGGGAACATCCTGAACTGTGAGATTCTAACGACGATCTGGTAGTGCTGGGATGTTAGGTCACACTGACATGTCACTTTGACAGGAACAAGGAACCTGAGATGACTCGATAGCCTGCTGAGGACTTTGTTCCTGTGAGTCATACAGCTCCTTGGCAGTAGTTGAATGTTGCGATGGCATCAGTATGTATAATGATTAAACCAAAGTATGTTTAGTATGACATAGTCATCGCACATTACAATCCTCAATCTGGTGTAATGAACACATCATAATACGCATGATACGCAGCATATACATTTAAATTGTGTTCCTTATAGAAGACTTTTATTCATCAGCGAGCTAAAAATGACCATAAATATAGTGGCGCATTATTATCGGGGCGCATATTAGAAACAATGACGTACACAACAATGCACCCAGTAAACAATACAAATGAGGGAAGGATTTCACGTCTCACACAACAATAAAATGTCAAGTACCGTCAGTTCCCTTACACAAGTTGATCAAGCAGCTCTGACAGTCGCCAACCTTGTATGGCCGCATCTATTATTTGGGAGTACTGCAAGAAGATGACACTGCCTGTAGTTGTCAACCCTTTGCAGGTTGCTGGGGTAGCCTAGTGGTTAAAGCGTTCGCTCGTCACGCCGAAGACCAGGGTTCGATTCCCGACATGGGTACAATGTCTGGTGTCTCTCGCCGTGATTTTGCTGGAATATTGTTAAAGCGGCGTTAAACCACACCCATATGCATTATGCTCACACCCAATTCTGCTGTTAGTGAAAGACTTTCCTCAGTTACCGACTGCAATCGTGGCTTAGTCACACGTTAGTCAACTGTGACATGAATCGAGGAAGTGAGAGAAATATGACACAAGGATTTCACATCAGTAAGGATAATATCGTTGATAATATCTCTATGTGTGCTTAGGGTGGGGCCTTTATGAATTTTCTGAGTCACGTTATGATCAGCATTTACTCTTCACCAGTGCGGAAGATGAAAACGAAACACTCAACTGACCGAACAGCAGGCGACGTATTTATTACACCTGAATGTTAACGTTGAAGTTAGAATGCCTTTGGAGGTGGATTATAAAATGATATGTGAAATAAGTGGAATATTCAATCATGCGTGGAATAAGGATCTTATTAGTTGTCATGTAAAGGGATGCGCTATAGAAGCGATAATCAGAACCGATGAACTTGGAACCACGAATTAATAGATAGATGTAAGCTGCTCGGCGAATACACTAGTTCTAAGTTACTGCACTGAGAGTAATTACATTTTTAATATTAGATTTTTGAAATGGGATTAAACATGTATAAAAAAGACACAACTACCTTCGAGTACTACTGTAATGTAAGCATCATACTTGTGCTTGTGGGTTTCACCAAAGTGGTAATAACAGCGACAAAACACTTTACTTTTTCATATGAAACTTCTAACAGCAGTGTCCAGTGAACATATTCAACGATATCATAAGCATGAGTTTATTAGGCACACCAGTGGCACCCGTCACAAACACATGCACACCACAATGGTTGAATGTATGAATGTTAAGTCATCCCTTTTGTCATACAGTCTTGTGAGTTTTTTTGTCTTACTGAAACGTCCACATATTAAAAAGATGAGGCGTTTTCACTGACATTATTTTTTTATAGCTCAGGTGGGTAAATCAATTGTAGGGAATTGCCTATTTAACCATTATTGAACGATCATGTAAGATCATCGATATACCTGAAGCTTATTAAATTAAACGTCTTGGCACAAATCCCCTGTTTACATTGGCCAGTTCGAGCAGAAATACAGAATCTGAAATTAAGACTTTATCACATATCAGAAATATTTATAATAGTATCATCTCATCTGTTCATTAATTCCATGCAGCAGTATGAATGTTCTGAAATAATGCCATGACTGAAGTTGCCGGGGTTTGCCACACAGCAACCTGTTTGGCGCATTGGGAAATGGACACCTCCTGACTTCAAATCCGTTAGGTCAAGTCGTCTAAGGCGCCGCGATTTGCTGTTGCGTCTCTTGGGCACGCCAGAAATCTAGGGTTGTGGATTCGAATCCTGGTTCGCCCCGATTATGTTTCTAGGTTTGTCAGCACCATACCCGTGCTCGTGGGTTTCACCGAAGTGGTAAACATCTGAGACCTGCATCACTTCGGGCTTCCTCCCACATTAAGATGACACGCCGAGATATAGCTGGAATACTGTTAAAAGTGGTGTTAAACCCAACTCACTCACTCACTCACTCAAATCCGTTAATATTCATCTTGGTAAGGGTACATGGAGTTAGCTGGGTTACTTGTCAGTAGCACCCGTGCCAGTAATGACCCCAACACTCCACCCACATGCACCCATTTAGTCAAGTAGCTTCATTAAATGTTAGGGCAAAATAGATAAATACTTGAAGGAACCTATTTGGCAAGTACTGTATAGGATAAACCTTTTGTTAATGGTGTTAGCGTCCTTGTTTCGGTTGGTATATATTTCCCTCACGGAAGCTATTGTTGTTGGTTTTATTACTGTGTATGTTTGAGTTTCATTTTACTCAAACTTTCCTCATACACATTCATGATTAACATAACAAGCGAGCTGGTGTTTACGCGTTACGGAAGTGTTATGTGTGGTCAGGAGGTTGAACACATGGTATAGGAGATATATGCAGCTTGATGAATCAACGAAAATCATTTTTATGCGCACGAAATTAACAGGCGAGGTTAAAGAGGAAACTTTGTTTTCGGGGTTTCATTTGCCGGGTAAACGAGGTGATTTTAATGTTACCCGTGCTGCGTAGTGAAATCATCCACGTGCCTCTTGTCAGACGAAATGGCGGCTGATACTGTAAGTAAATACACAATGTTCATAACAGTGAGTGAGTGAGTGAGTGATGTTACGCTGTTATGCGGCTTAAAGGAATATTTCCGCAATATCATGTCGCGGGACCATTTGGCTGTGGGGAGCGAACGTCTTAACCACTAAGATATCCTAACGCCCCTCGTTCATAATTGAGATATAGTTATATAATACTATCGTGTGAAGGTTCAACACGAATATGTATTCATCGATATTGGTATTTTGTTCTTTCGAACACCCACACAGGAGAATGCGATGAAGAGAGATGGTGTTCATTATCACGTTCAAGGTTATTTCAATTATATGGTTGTGTTCCTCACCCCTAAGCGGGATCTGCTGATCATTATTTCTGATGTCAGACTTTGCTCCTTTTAAGATACTCGATCTGTAAACACCATACCCAATGTTCAAGAGTTTCATATACAATGTTTCCCTAACAGTATGTGTTTCGATTATGAATTCCACGGTGACATGGATGGCACTGACCACAGGTCTGACATGTTGGACTTGTTCAAGAAATTGTATAGCTCAGAACATTACATGTATATAACGCAATGGTCAAGCACCGTCACAGTGACCGTAGCAGAGAGAACATGACAGGTATGTAACGCAGTGGATGGTCAAGCACCGTCACAGTGACCGTAGCCTAGAGAACATTACAGGTATGTAACGCAATGGATGGTCAAGTACCGTCACAGTGACTGTAGCAGAGAGAACACTTCATGTGTGTAACGCAGTGGATGGTCAAGCACCGTCACAGTGACCGTAGGAGAGAGAACATTACATGTATGTTACTCAATGGATGGTCAAGCACCGTCACAGTGACAGTAGCCGAGAGAACATTACATGTATGTAACGCAATGGATGGTTAAGCACAATCACAGTGACTGTAGGAGAGAGAACATTACATGTATTTAACGCAATGGATGGTCAAGTACCGTCACAGTGACTGTAGGAGAGAGAACATTACATGTATGTAACTCAATGGATGGTTAAGCACCGTCACAGTGACCGTAGCAGAGAGAACATTACATGTATGTAACTCAATGGATGGTCAAGCACCGTCACAGTGACTGTAGCAGAGAGAACATTACATGTATGTAACGCAATGGATGGTCAAGCACAATCACAGTGACTGTAGGAGAGAGAACATTACATGTATGTAACGCAGTGGATGGTCAAGCACCGTCACAGTGACCGTAGCCGAGAGAACATTACACGTATCTAACTCAATGGATGGTTAAGCACCGTCACAGTGACCGTAGCAGAGAGAACATTACATGTTTGTAACGCAATGGCTGGTCAAGCACCGTCACAGTGACTCTAGCAGAGAGAACATTACATGTATGTAACGCAATGGATGGTCAAGTACCGTCACAGTGACTGTAGGAGAGAGAACATTACATGTATGTAACGCAGTGGATGGTCAAGCACCGTCACAGTGACCGTAGGAGAGAGAACATTACACGTATCTAACTCAATGGATGGTCAAGCACCGTCACAGTGACTGTAGGAGAGAGAGCATTACACGTATCTAACTCAATGGATGGTCAAGCACCGTCACAGTGACTGTAGCAGAGAGAACATTTCATGTATGTAACGCAATGGATGGTCAAGTACCGTCACAGTGACTGTAGGAGAGAGAACATTACATGTATGTAACGCAGTGGATGGTCAAGCACCGTCACAGTGACCGTAGGAGAGAGAACATTACACGTATCTAACTCAATGGATAGTCAAGCACCGTCACAGTGACTGTAGCAGAGAGAACATTACATGTATGTAACTCAATGGATGGTCAAGTACCGTCACAGTGACTGTAGGAGAGAGAACATTACATGTATGTAACGCAATGGATGGTCAAGCACAGTGACCGTAGGAGAGAGAACATTACACGTATCTAACTCAATGGATGGTCAAGCACCGTCACAGTGACTGTAGGAGAGAGAACATTACACGTATCTAACTCAATGGATGGTCAAGCACCGTCACAGTGACTGTAGGAGAGAGAACATTACATGTATGTAACGCAATGGATGGTCAAGCACCGTCACAGTGACCGTAAGCGAGAACATTGACATTGAGAAGCACAGGCAGAAAATAGGTTTACGGTGGGCTTTGGAAGGTCATTGGAAAACATGCTATCGATAGTGTACGCTGTGTAACTCAGACAGAAATATAACTGAAATAATGTGATTTTTAAAGTTTTGTTAACAGAACTATACTTTTACGCGTAGAGAGGGAAAATGATGCCACTGTCGGCGACCTGCACCAGAAATGTGTGGACACGAGAACGATACTTTGTAATATCCAGGACCAATTTAAACCACAGACATGATGCAAAATGTATAAAGTGTGAAGTGCTTAGAATAGTTACTTACAGACTTACATATGTGTAAAACATTCATTCGTAATTGCTGTCTATGTGTCTGTCATATATTAGGAGAATGCTAAGTTGCTGTCTCCTTTGAAGCTGTATGCTGCAGTAGTGTTGATCTGTGGAGTGTTTGGACTACAAAATGTAGGTAGGTATTTGCTATGTAGATGTTCGCCTTATTGTCGTAGTTCCTCTAATTCCATAGAGTAACATATATTCACAGACCATTGAGTTTCTGATATCGAGCAATAATTGTCAAGCAGCCAATTCTCTCCCATTTATTTATTGACATGAACTAGAAATAAAAGAAACAAAATCAGTGAAACCACCAAATCTGCTTCATACTTAAATCCGTATACAGATTCAGAGTGGTCAAAGAGAATGTGTGACAAAAGAGGAGACTTCAACTGTCCCTTAAAATTGAGCAATATTCCAACAGCTCAACCCTTTTGTTGCTACATGTCACACCCTTCTAAGTACAATCGAACATTCTCTTTCCACTAAAATTTCAAATTGGCATAGGCCTTAGTACTATGTTCAAAGTTTTTGATGGAGGATATTTGCAAATTTGACCTATCAATAACCGTCATGCTGTCCGATGCACTTCCCCATTTGGACTTGTACCATTATACTACCACATGCTTCCGTGAACACTTGACTTGCTTTGCGTGTGTTTGTGACGGGTACCACCGGCGGGACAGAGCACGCTCCCTTTTCCAAGAACATCTTGCATCATCATCATTTGTAGTTTTTAGACCTTCTGCTTTTTTATGACCTTCATCTTTTGGCATAGTCAGAACAGTACACTGTACTCTGATTTTAGTAGAAATGACTCATGATTGTGGACATTGATGTTTTTCATTTGAATCCATGTTTCGCTCTGGTGATGATGTATGACAAAACCCAACATGTTTATCCCAGCACCTTTCACGCAAAATACTCACTCATTTTTTGCTTACAAAATAAAATTGAAAATGAAACTAAATATAAATAAGATGGCTTTCAATCATATCGGCATGACAATCAAATATATGTCAGCCACTCGCATCAATATAACAACGGGATATACGTCAGCTACTAATGCCATCCTCATTGATCTTATTTGAATAATTGGTCATGGTTATAACAACACAACTATGTATTGAAAATACATACAAATGAACAACAAACACAAATCTTTGAAAGTCATGTCATTTTCTTGCCAGGTCTTCGTCTGACTTCTGACCCAATGTTTGCTAAGGATGGAGCGTCTGTTACTATATCGTGCAGAGATACTGGGGGCAATAATATCACAACAGCACAGTGGTACAGAAACAATGTGATCATCTTCCAAACAAGTCACCTCCTGCCAAACCAGACGCTTGATGAAAACAGGAACACATCTGTATATGGGCGAATTACTGTGGACGCAACTATAAGACGACATGACATCATTCTCCCGTTCAACACCACTCTTGACGAACGATCTGTGTGGTGGTGTAGAAACGGCGATGAATCAAGTTACAACATGACACTTTGTTCGGAGCATATTGGTAAGGAGACAATGTAGAAGTGGGATGATACTGACACAAAGAAATTTGATTAAAATAACAAAGAAATAAAACATATTTACAATATGAAGATTCACATTTGTTGGCACCAACCTCCTGTCAACTCAATTTGGAAGGCCCATTACACATTATCTGACAATGATGAAAGATTAAAGTCAGTTTCTTAACTTTACAATTTGTAAGCAGATTCGGCGTAGTTAACGCATGTCACGTTTTATTGCTGTAACATGTTTTGAATGTTACAGATGAATGTATACGGCCGAATCTCACATCAGAATCAAAGGAAGCACTAGATGGCAACAATGTCACCCTTTCCTGTAGACACGGAGCAGGTCGCAATATTACAACAGTGCTGTGGTATCGGAACTATGTTTATATATTCCAAACGTCCACCCACAAACCGGAAATAGTACAAGACAAGCAGTCGGACAAAGACGACTACCGGGCTGTGGATGGGCGTATTTTAGTTAACGCCAACTTTGCCGTTCACAACGTGAGCCTCCAAATGAACTCTTCGCTTGATGCGGAATCTGTGTGGACTTGTGATAATAATCAGAAGTTCAGTGATGACTTGGTGATCGAGACAAAAAGAAGTGAGAGAGAGATAACTCCTTTAATCTGTACGTGTATCGACAGGGCGATATATCTATATATTTCATATGACGATTTTAATATGCCTCAGCAGTTTATATAAAGATGTGCACTTCAAGTGGTTTGTTACTTACATACGTATCTGCTGTGGCTGATTGATTTCACATCATGATAATCATCATCATCTTCTTATTACAGCTGGCAGTTCTGAATCAACCGCCTTTCCTCTGTCATCGACACCAACAACTTACAGGAACGGTAGGAGGCATATGGTAGAACCACGATTCAAATATGTCAGTTGTGTCTATATTTTTACGTTTATTACTCTAATATTGTAGAACATCGGGCACGAATGTATATATATTAATGACTCCAATTTTGTTATGAAAAGTTTCCCACTAACCTGATTAGTTTACATAGAGATGTGTGGTATGTAACTTACATACTTATCTGCTGTGGCCGATTGATTTCACATCATGATAAGAATCATCCTCTTCTTATTACAGCTGGCAGCTCTGAATCAACCGCCTTTCCTCTGTCATCAACACCAACAACTTACGGAAATGGTAATGTGTGAAGTACTAGAGATATATTATACATTCGTACTTGAAAGGTACATTCTAAAACCACACAAGGAATAAGTGATAACGGGGATAATTTCAGAGTCGGTATGTCTGGTCGTATCTCTGCTGGGGATTTGGTCAAGACGTTTAATTTAATAAGCTTCAGGTATATGGGAGATCCGATATCGTTCAATAATGGTCAAATAGCCAATTCCTTTTCTCTGATTGACCCATCTGAGCAAGAAATAAACAAGGCTAGTGAAACACCTCATCTGTTTCATATGTGGCTCTATGCGTACAGATTCAGAGTGACAAAACTCTCTACATGACTGTATGAAACGAGGGATAACTTCAACTTTCATACATTTGACTGTAACTATAACGTTGTTTGACCAGTGTTGCAAAATTCCAGGTATTTGTATATGTTTGTGTGTTTTAAACCGCAATCAACAATATTCCAGCTTTAGGGCGGCGGTCTGTAAATGCTCGAATCTGGACCAAATAATCCAGTGTTTTACCTCATGAGCATCTATCTACGCAGTTGGGATATGATGATATTCATCAACCAAGTCTGTGAGCCTTAACGCCTGATCCCATTCGTCGTCTCTTACGACTAGCACGGGTTGTTGAAGATGGATTGTTCTAACCCGGACCTTCATAGATCTTAAACGCACGAGCACTGATATGGTGTTCATAAAAGAATCGACTCTGGAACAAGATTCTGGAACTCCTAGCGGACGCGGCTCCAGACAAGGAATTTTGACACCCTAACACTGAAAACTCTTTGTGTTCTTAATAACATTTTACTTTCATACCATACCACAAAAGCACAACGTCAGTAAACTTGTATTGGTGTTATAATCAGATTGTTTGAAGCGGCGACAAATGGATTATATGTGGACAATAATTTGCAAGTGACACGTGATTTCTATCTTGTTTCAGTTGATAGTAAGAAAACCACCACCACCCTGGGAATAACTAAACCAACAACTGAAGAATACGGTAAGTGCTCTCATCGTAAGTATGCCATGGGAATAACTAAACCAACCACCGAAGAATACGGTAAGTGCTCTCATCGTAAGTATGCCATGGGAATAACTAAACCAACCACTGAAGAATATGGTAAGTGCTCTCATTTTAAGAACGCCATGTGAACACTCAAGTAATATCTGGGTAGGCAACGTAAGCCACTGGTACATTTTCGTCAATTCGTTTCACCTGTGGTCTGGAGTCTTTCAATCCGGACCGTTTTCATGTAAATAATCTGCTCTTTTCAGCAACAACTTCACAACCAAGCACACGTTCTGTGACAACACAAACAACCAAGGATGACTGTAAGTTTTGTACCTCAGGAAGATTTTGTCTTAAAGTAGAAAGTAATAATAACACAGTGATACGATAAAACACATCGCCATGCTTATTCAAATAATGAGTTCTCTCAATATTGTGAATAATTCACATGACCAGAGTCTGTCGGTAGTTTAAATATTTTTCTTCGATAAAAGAAATGTTTGTGCCTGTAGTATTTATGCTATCAGAGGATGGTTATTATCATCTATTTCAAGAGCACCTGCATAAGCTTACGTGGTGGCGGAGTCTTGAACTTTGCCGTTGATATCAGCTTTTGAGATTAGGAGATTTCCAGAACAGTAAAGTTATCAAAATTATTGTAATCTTTAATTCGCGTGAAGTCATGTTTGCTTGGACGTGTTTCTAAATTCTTCAACAGGTAATCATTGAAACTCCATATGCCGATTCCAGTTCACATTAGATCCCAATTACTGTCATCGTATCCCGACAATGTTGGTCGTTGTTCATGCTATCAACTACTAGTTTGCCAGATTCGGTATACCAGGACCATAGCTGACTGTGGAATAAAACAACAAACTCATAATAACAGTTAATAAGATGCAAAGGTCATGTTGATGCCGATCGATATGTTTGAAAATCCATAACTCTCTATTTCCAGCAAGCAGTGACAAAAGGACCTCAAGTGCCTCAACACTGACAACATCCACGTTCAAAAGCAAGTTTCAAATATGCTTATTCAGTAAATATTAAAGACGTTATAGACCATGTCCCATGTCTACCGAAAGTGTGTCTTTGCTGTTCAAGAGGGAAAAGGAAACACCGTCTTGTATCGTTGGACATTGAAAGTTCATTGACCTCATGACTCAGTGATTCCAGTGGAATACTTCTGGAGCAAAGTCAGATTGGATTTTTAGTTTTAGAGATATTAGCCCAGTAAGGATCCCGGGTTAGCAGTTGTTGAATTTTTCTTCAATAGATCGGATAGATCCTGGCTCGGTAATTCGGTTGTTTGCTTCTCATTGATGCATAGGGACTCAATTATATAAAGGCAGTCTGTCAACATCTCATTGCTGAGTGAGGCGATCTGTAAACAATAAATAACATATTAACCTTACACATTTGACCGCATTACACAATCCTCTGTGTCGCAGGCGTAGCGCCAGTCAAGTGATGACACCAATACAGATGAATTAAACGTGCATATTGCAGTTCTAGATTTGAATATGCTTATTTCACAGGCAGCAGAAAATCTACTTCTCATCAACCAGCTGTGCATTTGACGACACTTTCTCAGCCCGTGTCAAGTTCTGCAGGAACCAAGAACGGTAATATCAGTACAAAAACCACAGAATGGTACCTTTATGGTTGTGTTAAATGGACTTGAAAACATTCGTGTTAATTCTAGACTTTGATTTGTATTCCCTTGGCAACATCATGAAGCGTTTTCATTGTCCAGAAGACAATGAATGTTTGGTTCAGAAGTACAACCTGATATATTGTTACATGATTCGATGTTTCGATTCTCATTTTGTGTAAACATGCGGGAAAAACACATTCTCATTAATAACAATTGACACGGATGTTTCAGAACCATGCATGATGATCACATGTTAATACACTTTTTCATTATTACCCCTGATGACCATGAAGGTGCAAGTGAAATGTCATCATTGCACGCATACATGGGGGAAAGAAATTCCATACATGTACAGTACACGTAAGACCGATTTAATTGTAAATATATTGCTGAGTGCAGCGTTAACCAACAAACAAAACAAATATGCAGCCGTAAATATGACACGAATCAGAGTTCAATGCCCTAACCACGTCCGAAAGCTGTGAATAAAGACTTTACAAGCGTCTGTATAATTTTTTCGGCTGACTGAATTAAGAAACGAGGAATACTTCATGTTTAACATTACATCACTAATTTAGCAAATAATTATACGTATAAAAACGTATAAAATTGCTGAATCTTTGTTCTTTACAGAGATTATCCTGTATGCTGTAATTGGATCAGCGATTGTTGTTGTAGTGATGACAACTGTTGCTGTGACTGTGTGTCTTGTCTGTGTCAAGAAAATGATAGGTAAATACTACAGCAGTGTTATAGTATATGCGTATATAAAGGAAAGAACATTATATTCTGTTCCATAAGCCATTTATCAAAAGCATCCCAAGCTATACGGCTTTAAAAACAATAAAATAGATGGTAGGCGGTTAGTATCACAGAGACACTACATAAAAACTGAATTTGCAAGATAATAACTATGATGCTAATATTGTTGACTTTGAGCTTTAAGCATTCGAAGACAAGGAACATATGCATGTACTCTTTGCTAATTAGTTTAAAGATGGTTATATTTAAAAAAAATATGTTATATAATTCACTGTTACGTGATGCACTTTGCCTTCTATGAATGTTTGCCATTGATGTTTAACTTCATCGTTTCAGGTCGTAAGGACACTGACAAACATACGTATGTACAACACATGAATAACTTACATTATATCGTCCGTATCTTCATTAATTAAGACGATAGTGTGATTTAATGTAGTAAGAATACACTCCTTGATATCACCATGCAATTAATGACGGATACGCTTGTATATACTCCGGATGTAAGCTCAACAAAAACTCAAGAAAATAATAAGTTATCAAGATAGTGTTTGACCAAAAGGTGCTGTCCGTGTCAAAGATATGTGTTACAGTCTAATGTGTTGGAGCACGTGTCTCAGTCCATTCATCTCGGACATCTCTGAAGTGTAAAATGTGTTCGGCCAAAGTGACCGACATTGCTCTCATTACTAGAAAGTGTTAACTTCTGTGCTCGGTACTTCTGTAAATGATCTACGTCTAGCTTTCAGTCCATGGTTCCATTATGTGTCTGAACATTCATTTTCAGAATTGATGAGGGCACACCGGAAGGTAACCATGGAGATGTAAACATGGATGGTTTGTATTCTCATTTCTATATACTTCGTGTACATTTCTATATACTTCGTGTACATTTCTATATACTTCCTGTACATTTCTATATACTTCCTGTACATTTCTATTTACTTCGTGTACATTTCTATTTACTTCGTGTAGATTTCTATATACTTCTTGTACATTTCTATATACTTCGTGGACATTTCTATATACTTCGTGTACATTTCTATTCACTTTGTATACATTTCTATATTCTTCGTGTACATTTGTATTTACTTCGTGTACATTTCTATATTCTTCGTGTACATTTCTGTATACTTCACGTACATTTGTATGTACTTCGTGTACATTTCCATATATGTTGTGTACATTTCTATATATGTCGTGTAAATATCTATATACTTCGTGTACATGTCTATATATGTTGTGTACATTTCTATTTACTTCGTGTACATTTCTACATTTCTATATACTTCACATACATTTCTATATACATCGTGTACATTGCTATATACTTCTTGTATATTTCTATATAGTTCTTGTACATTTCTATATACTTTGTGTACATTTCCATATACTGCTTGTACATTTCTATTTACTTCTTGTACATTTCTATATATGATGTGTACATTTCTATATACTTCGTGTACATGTTTATATATGTTGTGTACATGTCTATATACTTCTTGTACATTTCTATATACTTTGTGTACATTTCTATATTCTTTTTGTACATTTTTATATACTTCACGTTCATTTATATATACTTCGTGTACATTTCTATATACATCTTGTACATATCTATATACTTTGTGTACATGTCTATATATGTTGTGTACATTTCTTTTTACTTCATGTACATTTCTATATCCTTCGTGTACATTTATATTTACTTCGTATACATATCTATTTACTTCGTGTACATGTCTATATATGTTGTGTACATTTCTATATATGTCGTCTACATTTCTTTATTCATTGTGTACATTTCTAAATACTTCACTCACATTTTTATATACTTCGTGTACATTTCTATATACTTCTTGTACATTTGTATATACTTCGTGTACATGTTTATATATGTTGTGTACATTTCTATATACTTCTTGTACATTTCTATATACTTCGAGTACATTTCTATTTACTTCATGTACATTTCTATTTACTTCGTGTACATGTCTATATATGTTGTGTACATTTCGATATATGTCGTCTACATTTCTATATTATTTGTGTACATTTCTATATACTTCACATACATTTCTATATACTTCGTGTAATTTCTATATTCTTCTTGTACATTTTTATCTACCTCGTGTACATTTGTATATACTACGTGTACATTTCTATATACTTTTTGTACATTTGTATATACTTTGTGTACATTTCTATATACTTCATGTACATTTCTATACAGTTCATGTACATTGCTACATACTTCATGTACATTTCTATACACTTCACGTACATTTCTATATAGTTCATGTACATTGCTACATACTTCATGTACATTTCTAGACACTTCATGTACATTTCTACATACTTCGTGTACATTTCTAAATATTCTGTTAACATTTCTATATACTTCTTGTACATTTGTATATACTTGTGTACATTTCTATATACTTTGTGTACATTTCTATATACTTCATGTACATTTCTATATAGTTCATGTACATTGCTACATACTTCATGTACATTTCTAGACACTTCATGTACATTTCTATACACTTCGGGTACATTTCTATATACTTCGTGTACATTTCTTTATACTTTGTGTACATTTCTACATACTTTTGTACATTTCTATACACTTCATGTACATTTCTATACACTTCGGGTACAAATCTATATACTTCGTGTACATTTCTATATACGTTGTGTACATTTCTATATACTTTTGTACATTTATACAGTTCATGTACATTGCTATATACTTAATGTACATTTCTATACACTTCATGTACATTTCTATACACTTCGGGTACATTTCTATATACTTCGTGTACATTTCTATATACTTTGTGTACATTTCTACATACTTTTGTACATTTCTATACACTTCATGTACATTTCTATACACTTCGGGTACATTTCTATATACTTCGTGTACATTTCTATACACTTCATGTACATTTCTATACACTTCGGGTATATTTCTATATACTTCGTGTACATTTCTATATACTTTGTGTACATTTCTATATACTTTTGTACATTTCTATATACTTCATGTACATTTCTATACAGTTCATGTACATTTCTATATACTTCTTGTACATTTCTATATACTTTGTGTACATTTCTATATACTTTTTGTACATTTCTATATACTTCATGTACATTTCTATACACTTCATGTACATTTCTACATACTTCGTGTACATTTCTAAATATTCTGTTTACATTTCTATATACTTCTTGTACATTTGTATATACTTGTGTACATTTCTATATATTCTGTGTACAGTTCTATATACTTCTTGTACATTTCCATATACTGCTTGTACATTTCTATATACTTCTTGTACATTTCTATATACTTCTTGTACATTTCTATCTACTTCGTGTACATTTCTATATACATCTTGTACATTTACATATACTTTGTGTACATTTCTGTATACTTCATGTACATTTCTATACACTTCGGGTACATTGCTATATACTTCATGTACATTTCTATACACTTCATGTACATTTCTACATACTTCGTGTACATTTCTCAATATTCTGTTTACATGTCTATATACTTCGTGTACATTTCTATATACTTTGTGTACATTTCCATATACTTTGTGTACATTTCTGTATACTTCATGTACATTTCTATACACTTCAGGTACATTTCTATATACTTCGTGTACATTTCTATATACTTTGTGTACATTTCTATATACTTCATGTACATTTCTATACAGTTCATGTACATTGCTATATACTTCATGTACATTTCTATACACTTCATGTACATTTCTACATACTTCGTGTACATTTCTAAATATTCTGTTAACATTTCTATATACTTCTTGTACATTTGTATATACTTGTGTACATTTCTATATATTCTGTGTACAGTTCTATATACTTCTTGTACATTTCCATATAATGCTTGTACATTTCTATATACTTCTTGTACATTTCTATATACTTCTTGTACATTTCTATCTACTTCGTGTACATTTCTATATACATCTTGTACATTTACATATACTTTGTGTACATTTCTGTATACTTCGTGTACATTTCTATACACTTCGGGTACATTTCTATATACTTTTGTACATTTCTATATACTTCATGTATATTTCTATACAGTTCATGTACATTGCTATGTACTTCATGTACATTTCTATATACTTCTTGTACACTTTTATCTACCTCGTGTACAAATCTATATACTTTGTGTACATTTCTATATACTTCATGTACATTTGTATATACTTTGTGTACATTTCTATATACTTCTTGTACATTTCTATATACTTTGTGTACATTTCTATATACTTTTGTACATTTCTATATACTTCATGTACATTTCTATACACTTCATGTACATTTCTACATACTTCGTGTACATTTCTAAATATTCTGTTTACATTTCTATATACTTCTTGTACATTTGTATATACTTGTGTACATTTCTATATATTATGTGTACAGTTCTATATACTTCTTGTACATTTCTATATACTTCTTGTATATTTCTATATACTTCTTGTACATTTCTATCTACTTCGTGTACATTTCTATATACATCTTGTAGATTTCCATATACTTTGTGTACATTTCTGTACACTTCATGTACATTTCTATACACTTCGGGTACATTTCTATATACTTCGTGTACATTTCTATATACTTTGTGTACATTTCTATATACTTTTGTACATGTCTATATACTTCATGTATATTTCTATACAGTTCATGTACATTTCTATATACTTCATGTACATTTCTATACACTTCATGTACATTTCTATATACTTTGTGTACATTTCTTTATACTTTGTGTACATTTCTATATACTTCGTGTACATTGCTATGTACTTCATGTACATTTCTATACACTTCATGTACATTTCTATATACTTCTTGTACATTTTTATCTACCTTGTATACAATTCTATATACTTTGTGTACATTTCTATGTACTTCTTGTACATTTCTATATACTTTGTGTACATTTCTATATACTTTTGTACATTTCTATATACTTCATGTACATTTCTATACAGTTCATGTACATTTCTATATATTTTTTGTACATTTCTATATACTTTTGTACATTTCTATATACTTCATGTACATTTCTATACAGTTGATGTACATTTCTATATACTTCATGTACATTTCTATACACTTCATGTACATTTCTATATACTTCTTGTACATTTGTATATACTTCGTGTACATTTCTATATACTTTGTGTACATTTCTATATACTTCGTGTACGTTATTATATACTTCTTGTACATTTCTATATAAGATGTGTACATTTCGATTTACTCCTTGTACATTTCTACATACTTTGTGTACATTTCTATATACTTCTTGTACATTTCTATATACTTCTTGTACATTTCTATATACTTCGTGTACATAGCAATATACTCTATGTACATTTCTATATACTTCTTGTACATTTCTCAATATTCTGTGTACATTTCTATATACTTCTTGTACATTTCTATTTACTCCTTGTACATTTCTACATACTTTGTGTACATTTCTATATACCTCTTGTACATGTCCATGTACTTCTCTTACATTTATATATACTTCTTGTACATTTCTATATACTTCTTGTACATTTCTATATACTTCGTGTACATAGCAATATACTCTAAGTACATTTCTTTTTACTTCTTGTACATTTCTAAATACATCGTGTGCATTTGTATATATTCTGTGTACATTTCTATATACTTCTTGTACATTTCCATATACTGCTTGTACATTTCTATGTACTTCTTGTACATTTCTATCTACTTCGTGTACATTTCTATATACATCTTGTACATTTCTATATATTTCTTGTACATTTCTATATACTTCGTGTACATTTCTATATACTTAGTGTACATATCTATATATGTTGTGTACATTTCTATATATGATGTGTACAATTCTCTATATGATGTGTTTCTATATATGTTGTATACATTTGTATATACTTCGTGTACATTTGTATATACTTCTCGTACATTTCTATATATGTCATGTACATTCTAATAAACGTTTCGTTGCAGTGATGGTCGACAATGAAGCTTATGTTCAATATGCCTACATTGAAGATACAAACAGTTGTGATGTGCAGTATGAAAGAGAACCTGCAGGTAGAAGTGCACATTTAACAACAGAATTAACGAGTCATGATTAAATCTTGTTCAGGTAATTTATTCTGATTTTACCATAACATGGGAATCTTTCATAATACCAAACGGTTATGTCAAATTATCAAGATGCAATGACGCTTTCATGTTAAGGTAACTGATAAATAATTGTACTTTTGATATTGCTAACAGTTAAAGAGCACAATAGTTCTAGTAGTTTAATACTATGTAATGTCCTTTTCAAAACCAGATTGATTAGTGTAGAATATTAGTGGTGGGCAGTGATGAGTGTCTGTGGTCTGAGCGTCAAAATAAAATCGCACACTAATGATGAAACTAATTTTAGTTTATTAACATTAAGTTAAAGCTTGATACGTCGAGTATTGTCTAGCTCAACACGAGAACAACCATATAATCTCTCATTCAACTCTTATTCCAAATATATTGCAATGTGAACGTGTTTAGCGCTTGACTAACGTAAAATAAATCTGGTTCATTTGTCACGTGAAACACCCATGCTCGTGAACATCACAATATCAATATATGACTTAAACATAATTCCTATATGGTACACAATGTGAAGACAAGCCATGTCAAGAGAAACTGTGGGGTAGATGCAATCACATGTGAGAGCGATTTGGTAGAGGTTAACTGTGTACCGGTGTGTCATTGTGTCGCCTTATTGTCCCCGGGGCAACGGTTGTCCAGTCATCTGAGAAGACGCGATTCATTGTACAGAGTTGTGTCCCCTAGGTGTGAAGCGGTGTGTAGACAGCTCTCTATCCAAGGTAGTTAATATAGCTTCAACTGCGGGAGACACGAATGTCCCAGTCATCTAAGGTAACGCAGTTAGCTGTTTCGTCCCTTATGTGTGCCGGGAACCTGATTACATCTCGGTTCACCCTGATTATGTTTCTATGTTTGTCAGCAACATGCCCGTGTTCGTGGTTTCACCCACGAGGTAAACGTCTAATCACTGCATTGCTGTTGGCATTCTTCCCACATCAAGTTGACACTTCCTGATATGTGTGTTAAAAGCGGCCAATTTTTATAACTCACTCACTTCAATTGTTTTAGTAATGGTCGACAACGTCTGTTATCATGGGTATTCGGACAGCGACGTCTCGGACACCTCGTACTGGGAGGTAGGCGGATGGTACTCGTCGTCTTCCCACTCCATACATGTCTTTGTTACAGATTCAAATTGCCAACACTGAAATAGGAACGAAGCATATATATTGTTTGTTAAACTATCTAAATAGTGCAAGTAACGTGTTTATGTGTTTTTTGCCTTTAACTTCTTAAAGTTAAACTATTTATTTGTTGATAGCAGTTAATGTAATACCAATTAATAATCCATCACATTGTCATATAATCTAGATGTTCTACAAATGTAAACTGTGTTATCCATCTCTCAGTCACGTCCTACATTCTTTGTGTTGACAGTACAACGGCCCCGCTGATGAGCGTGCTGGATCTGACAACAAGGAATAGTGAGTATATGGACGGATCATAATCACTACCATCAGACTGAAATATGTGTGTATCATTGGAGCAATATGTACTGATAGTCGCTATCCTCTACTATTCGGAGCCTTCTCATCAGACATGCCGACACACTGAATGCTGCCATTATACAGTCACTGGTTGACATAATATATATGCATGAATGTGCATTTTTGGTCGTTGATATTTTGATCCAATGGAATTTTCTCTTCTGACGATTTCAAGGGAAAACGTGGATCTCTGCTATCCTTCACCTGTCGTAAGTGAGTTGTGTTTAACGCCTCTTTTAACAGTATTCCAGTAATATCACGGCGTGTCAGCTTAATTCGGAAAAAAGCCGGAAGTGATGCAGGTCTCAGAAGTTTACCACTTTGGTGAAACCCACGATCACGGGTATGGCGCAGAGAAACCACGAAACATAATCGGAGCGAACAGGGATTCGAACCCATAATCATAGGTTTCTGGCGCGCAACTCTGCACAGCGTGCGCCCAACTGTCGTTACAGCAGAATAGATGCGGATTGGGTAGATGTGGCGATCGGCGGCGCTGGTTGTCGTTCACCCTTTTAGTCAGTCGTTCCATATGTCCAGACACCACTATTACAGTCTCCCGAGACATACGAGGACATATTGAAGACTGCCGCGCCGACACACATTCACGGTCGTTAATGTGGACGTTTAAGATGTACGTTGTATGTTGTTATTCCAGATAATGCATTCAGCATGGTGGCTGTCAAGATTACCTGAATGAACAACAAAACCTAGACAGACAACAACTCGTGTCCGAACAAACTGCAAAACATACGGACACACTTTGAACAGGAATATTGTCAACGAAAATGAAACTAAATTGTTCTTGGTCGTCGTGCGTGTTCGAATCTCATTCGATGTGTATCGAGATGTACTGCCAATATTGTTTTATTGTCATTATTTTTTAGTTTAAGTGGATTATATGTTATATGTGTGTGTCAGTATATTACATCCATTGAATGTTCTTCTGCAAAGTCAGTGCATTATTTTATCATTAAAAAGCATTGAACTGATAGGTTTTCGTTGATGCCTACGTACGGACATACTTATCTCTTATGTAAATGGTTTGATATTATGTGTATGACAGTTGCTTTTATATTTTCCCTCGGCGTTGGTGTACATGTATAAAGAAAGAAATTAGTGATATGATTCATGTCATCTGTATGTGTATATATATTCAAATTGATATTAATATTATTACATACAGATTTGCCATTCAAATTGATATTATTATTATTACATGTGGTATTAATATAATTATTGTGTGTTTATGTGTTATATCAAATCAATATCGTAGTTCATGATTATTGTATTAAACTTGATCACATGTTATGCATGTTGTATGCTAAGAATACCACAGTTTTGTCTGCATTGATGCTGTGGTATTACAGACGCTCCTTTTTATGCTGTGTGGGGTCATGAAGTGTATTTGAGTTATTGGATGCTTATTTGTTATAAAAAAAACAACGTGACAGTATCACGTGTAAAACGATATGAAGCAAAGGGAGGTAATAAGACGAACAAAGTAAACTAAGCAGATGAGACTGATACATACGACCATATGTTCACATTCAGTAGCTTTCCCACACGACCCATTAATGAATCACTTACACCTTGTGTTCCATCTGGAAGTTGAATATATGCAATCAATTAGAAAACTATGGATTAGAAAAGCTTAAACAATTTGAATATTTGTAAAATGGTCATGCTCGCGATCTCATTTGTTGTTTGACATTGATATATGTGTCCGTTTTTCTTTGAGCTAAGTGTCAGCTGTTGTATGTTTTGATGTGTTAGTGTTTTGCGCAGCAGTCAACAACGTTGTCATGGCGGCCTGTACCCAGTGGGTGATAGCATGAGCACGTTCACGGCGACGGTGCACAATGACGCAATCAGACAAGTTTCGCAGCCAGACCATCCGATCCGAATTTTAGTTGGCTCTCACTACAAAATATTATTGAACGCTGCCCATGTTTCAGTCAGTCAATCATTTACAGGTGTACTCGAGATTGAGGGAATATTGCTGTCGATGGCGTTGGGCGTTCACTTAATCACTGCCTCATAAATAATATTGTGACTCCGCAGTGTTCACTCAATATCCTAATGCTGGCGATCGTCCCTTACTTTATACATTTTACTGTTGAAATGCATGTATGTACTCACATTTATGAGATAAAACATTCACAGAACATTGTCTACTCTTGTCTAATCTTGCAAAACGAACGTTCAGTCTCTCTAACTCACTCCTTCAATTGACTACAACTTGGTAGGGGCAATGCTCATCCATTCAGCCCTGTAGTATATAACTGGCCAAAAATAACAAGATTGCAATCGGTTTTATGCCTGGAGCCAAAACATCTTAACAAAGAAAGAAGATCGTAAGCTATCACAAGATTTGATATCCAGGGCGACGAGTTATTTCTTTTAATTATTCTTGATTTTCAATGTTGCCCCTTTATTCTGCAGAGTCGTTGAGATACTGGATGGACACCTGTATTGATTCCCGGCTTGTGCACAAATGACTTGATGATCACAAACCCTGAGCAGTTTCTGCACAGGTGTTGACTGATTTTACTTGGCACGGTTTGTAATGTATGTAAATGAATCTCTATTTCTTTTACAATCAAAACAAATCAACACCCAAGTCCCTCAAGTTCAACTGCAATGTATGTCATTCTCACCCAACATACGGCTATTATCGTAGCCGAGAAGTGTTTGTTTGGTAGATACAAGCTTGTGGTTCGCTAACGATAATTTGCAGAGCGCTTCATTCAGTATTGAATCGTTTGACCCCGGGTTCTATATGCACAGTCACTGGCTTGTGATCCAGGTTTACCTTGCACTGCAGTACCAAACGTACCTGCTAAACTGCAGCTGACGTTTTTGACTGGCACACGTCAGCAAGATCGTTGTCCAGTAAGGAATTTTCAAATTAGTCGGTCCACATCTGCAAAGGTATCTTCGGCTTTCCAGAGCAGCAAGAACTTTTGGCAGAGTTGTAAGGCAACAATTATTAGTATTAGAGTGAATACAAATCACAAAATAACGATCGGTTTAAACCTATACTCCTGCATCCAAAACATCTTAACCCAGGACGAGATGTAAAGGGGTTCGATCCCCGGCATACCGAAACGTTAAGAGATGGTACTTGTTGTTACCCTGTCTGGTGTTCGGCATTAAGGGACAACCGCATGGACTAGTCAGTATACTGTGTCTGAGTGGGGTATTCATGTTAAAGAGTGGGGTATTCATGTTAAACTGCGGCATGGTATCTCAGTGGGCTAGCATTGTACATCGGCATCAGTCCGGACTAGTGCAAGTAGCCACCCATACGCACACACATACACACATATAAACACACACACGCACACACGTGCATGCACGTGGCTATATAAGTGCAATAATCTTGGACGCGACATTAGCAGCAAATAGACAATTCCCTTCCAATGATTGACCAGTGTTTTGGTAGGGACCCAGCAGTGACAGTATGGAGATATGATGAGAATCAAAACGCCTATCAACAATATTTGTGCAATTCCATTTTTAAGCGTTCCAGGTTGGTGTGACATAACGTTCACGAGATTTTGCTGTCAACACATCAACAATTTACTCTGTTTTAATTGACTCAGTCCTCCGTACGTGTTCCTGTCTGCAAGTACAGTTCATGTTATCCCTTCGTTAGTTGTAGCATCATGGGAAGTAACCTTGCACATAACCACCAAGCACTGTACGTCACTTAGATATACCCAGAGAGGCGGCCCAACACAGATGCCCGACAGACAGGCAGCCGATTCTCCCCTTCCTGATATTGATTTTTACAATCCTGGTTTATAGAACCTCAATTTGAAATGGATTCCTTTCCCTTCCTGACACTGAAGTGTTATGTAAATATACCACATTTATCAAATTGACATTATCATTCTTGTTGTTATAACTGAAGGAAGGTTAGTGTAAAAATACATATTTCTCATCAATTAACGAAGTCAATATTTTCTTTGGAATATTGACGGTAATGATAATCCGTTCAATTTCATGTCAGATTGTGTTTGTAGTTGTATTTCTCAAATGCTAAAAAGAGAAGCTATAAATACGTAAGCCCCTGTATGTTACTCCATAAGCTTTACGATCACAGACACGTTTCCTCATGTAAGCCTGTCTCATGTGAGATGATGATTTAGATTTGCACATTTAGAAGGTTTTGTAGCCGAATGGTGTATGAGAGTCTGCGTCTTCTTTTTAATTGGCTTTATTTTCTGTCTCAGGGGCGAGTTTTTGTTGTTATGAGGTTGCTTAGTAATGGGTTTGTGCAAGGCTGTAGTTTAGTGTAATGTGTTTGCTTTCAAAATGGGAGGGCTATTTCCCTAGTCAACTTTCAGGGAGATTTGAATGCAGTGCCTGATATTGTACCTGTGATATTGAAAGCGCTTTGTATTGTAATGAATCTAATTGGTTTTTTATTGAGAGTGCGTCCTATGCGGATGCGGCGTATTCTAGCTTTGTCGGGTGAGCGTTTTGTAGATGGTACATTTGTAAGTAGCGTGTGTTGGTCTGCTCCCCAGCTTGTACCCCGTGCTGCGCTTTAGTTTGAGATCATAGCTGCATTTTGTGATGATGTGTTTAAGTGGGGTGTGCATGTTAAGTGGTCTAGTATTCGGCCTAGGAATTTTGTTTGTGTGCTTTAGTGTGTTTGGAGTTATTTAGTGTTAAGGATGGGGAGGTTGTTTTGCATGTAAGGTGTTTTGAAGCGTATGTCTAATGTTTTGTTAGCATTGCTTTTGAAACCCATGGTATTTGCCCATGTGTCAATAGCATTGAGTGCGTGAAGTGAATTGTGTGTTCTTTGATAATTTAGATTCTTGAATAGCTATCACTTGTGGGTTGAGTTTATTCAGTTTTTTTATTTGTGACTTTATTCATTGTATTTAGGTATTATGCCATTGCATTCCTCTGGATTATAAGCATGACGAGTAGTCGTATGAGAATGTGTATTTTAGATCCGGTGTGTGGTGTCCCGTCATAGTTCGATGGATATCATGTTGTGTTAAAATGTGCGAATTGGAGCGTACATAGTGAGGTTTAGAGGAGACACAGGTGAATTGTGCCTATTGTGTCATGTGACGATGTGTACGACGTGGCCGGGGTGTCAAATTCCCTGTCGTACCAGTTGTAGATTTTGGAGTTTAGATTTCTTGCGGGGGCAAGGAGGTCAGATGCCACACAATGTTTATGTAAAAAGTACGTTCGGTTTTGTCGGACAGGAGTTTGAAAAGGTGGTATGATTATACTGATCACAGTTTCTACAGTAGAGTTGTAGATTGCACTGAGAGCTATTATGTCTCGGATCTGCATTTGGAACATTTGTCCCGATGTTTACAATTTGATTGTGCATGTCCACAAATGTGGCAAGTTGGTGCATTGGGCTGTATTGCTGCTGGTTTTCTGCACTTTTAAAGAGATTGATCTACAAATAAAAATGATAGTTTAGGTGTTCATTGGGGGACCTTATGCATCTATTCGTGGTGATCCTTAGTGGATGGTTTAGCAGTGGGGTGAAACGATGAAAGTAGTAGATGGAATCTTTCAGTCTTTTTTTAGGGGCATTTGTCTTTCTGTTTATCAAGGGATATGGTTGAGATTGATGTCTCTGGTGTTGACGGTGGGTGGTCATAAAGTGTTGGTGTTCATCGCGAGGACGGACTGCTCTAGCTTGAATTCAGCTGCGACCGCTGAGTGACATCGAATCCCGGTGATGGTCTGTGTTGTTGAAAGAGTCAGGTAAATACTTCTGTTATATGCTAGTTTGATACTTCCGATGGAAAAGAGAAGGTTGTGTTTGAAACCCACACTTATTCAGTCTGTTGCTTGTAAAGAATCTGCAAAATATATACTTCTGATGCATCTGCATGAAATATGTTATGCTGTTAATGATTAGACGGAAATCAATTTGTCTATGTATTTATCTTTCCATTGGGAGTGTGAAAAATGTCGATAATGTGGTGTGTGCAGAGAGAATGCTGACATAGTAGTTTCGTAATTAGGCTTTGTATTACACGGATCCTTTTCAAATGCTGTTTGTCCCAAGTGTAGAACAAACTGATGACCTAACATTTTCATTATGACGTGTACAAACCACTTCAAATGAGATCTCATCAACATTCCAGGTGTCATGAAGCAGTTGTGCTTGTGCATTCAACTAAAAGGATCTACATGTGAAGTCAGAGCTATCCGACTGTTCTGGAAGAGTTAGACGTTTAACATGGCAAAGCTTGACATCTTAGGAACTACTCTTCTGTTTATACAAGGTGGGTTAGTGCCTTTGTAAGTAGTAGCTATTCCTGACACCTTAGTTTTGACAGTGATGACTATTTGGTGCTTTTAACTGCCTGAAGTCTTCCCGTAGTCGCTAAGGCCTTGTAAACCTGTTAGAATGTATATAAAAGTAATAGTGTTTAATAGCAATTATCAGTTTTATGGTCTCGTGTTACAATTAATGCTTCAAAGAAATATTGAATTAGTATTGTTTTGCCATGGGTCTGTGGCTAAGATTTATTGGTATTACTTTACCTCTTCAAAATAGCATGGAGCAGTTGTGAACGAAATACAATATTTTTTGCAACACTAAGTATTCATTTATTTCTGAAACAAATGGTTCAGTCAACGTTTCTCTGATGATAACCGATCGGTAGATTCTGAGAAAATCTTGAACACCTGGTAATGACGAAGAATGACGAAGGAGTCCCTGATGGATGGATATACAGTTTATTATCGAAATGGTGGTGGTAGTTGGTCAAGTCCTTCGGGCCCCGCCCATACACCTCATTATAATATCATACATGGTTCACCTCACATGGTTATTCATGCAGATCAAAGTATATGTGAGTTGTGGGTTGAAACTCTACATCACTTAAAATATACAAACTCAATGAAAATAGGGTATCATAAAATATAAATATCAATACCTAGTATTAGACAAAGATATGTGGTGACAACCAAAATTCTGTGCATAAACGTTTATGTCTGTAAAATGTAAAAACGACACACATCATATTGTTCGCACGTTTCTCAGGCACCTGTAACAAACGTACGTAGGATTTATTTTCTGATTTTGACACTTTGAAGAAACTTCAATTAATCACTGCGGACCATTAATTCTGTCA